AGAAAACATATAAATATAACCATTTACCTGTTCATTAAATCTTTGGTCATCCGATTGTACGAATGTACTATAAGACGACTGCCAGGAGATGTTGCAAAACAGAACTGTGGAATATGGTCATATTCATGCATGTTCCGGGTGAGTGCTGTTGCTGTCACAACCAAAGGATATTGAAATTCTTTGGCAGTAGCACTTTCAATGAAATCTTTAATTCTTGTGCCAATATAGCTCACAAGTGCTTCGTTTCCACTAAAAAGTTGGCAAACAGAGTATAAGTATGATTATAGACTAATCTTGATTCAGTAAAATATTATAGTAACTAATTATAAGTGGTACCTCATATCTTCAAGATAAATCTGGAACATATATGTATCAGAATTGACTTTAGCTGGTTCGGTGATATGTGTTACACATCCTGTGATATCTGAAATATGTAAATATTTTAGTTGTTTTTTTATCTATATGATGTTTGGAATATACAATATTTAACACATCAATTTCTAATACAATCTGTTGAAATAAATGGTTAAGAATAAATAATAAATACCTGAGAAGCAAGGTGGAAGACTTTTTGAAGAACCAGTAGCATTGAAAGGACTTTGAAAAAAATAATCATCTGGAAAATGCATTGTGCTCCGATATTCAATCATTGTTTTGAATGAAGATTCCTTTGTAAAATACAATCTCAAATTGGAAGTTGCAGTGCGACGATCAGATCTAGCTGGTATAACAGTTGGATTCATCATGGTATAGAGACAACCGATCTTAATGTCTTTGCAAATATGAGCGGAATCTTCATATGGTACATTTCCTTCCATAAGTTGTCCCTAAAGGAGTTAAAATATTACAAATGAGTTTACAGTAACTATTCTGTTATAAGACCAAAACCAGTAGATGTTCAATGTTTATAATTTTACCTCTTTATCTAACCAAAGCATATGCATGGAGGAAATAGATCTAGGTCCATCTAACTCATATTCTGACCAAATGTTTAACAATCTAGCCATGAGGAAACGATTGCTTTTTCCAAGATGAAGCTCACTAAAGGTTGTGGATTCAGCCATTACATCTAACACCAAAAGGTAAAATGAGTCATTATATCTAAAAGCATTCGGACAAAAACTCTATTCAACTTATTGTAAAATACCATGTGGGTCTTCCGGCAACATTTTCCCTTTTGTTGTCGCCGAAAATAACAGATCAGTTGTGATAGAGCTTTGGGGTAGCAATAGCTTCTTACTCCAACTGTGAAAGAAGACAAAATGAGGAAAACAAAGGAAAAGAAATAGAAAGAATATAATAAATATGTAATACTTGACGTAAATTATGTAGGGGTCGACTGCAGGAGATGGGGGACCAGAACGGCGGCAGCTGCGGGGTAAGATTCTAGGGTTTCCCCTTTCGTGAAAATCAGCTGACCAAGGAGACAAACAGAAGCAACTCTTTTTGGTATTGTACACTCTTTTTTAGCTGATGGAGGGAAACTAAGGTCGGGCTAATGTGTGAGGATGTTCGAATCAAAGCCCAGACCTTGGGCTCGGTTCAGTGGTCTTGGGTGGGCCGAAGCAACAACAGACTGGCCCATAAATTAGCCCATCTGCATTGCAATTGAGATAGTGAGAAGGTTTGGGATGATAATCCACCTCATGTGCTTGTACCTCTTATTAGAGAGGAAACTATTGGAAACCATGCTACGTTTGATTAATATATGAATACAATTTTCCTTCACAAAAAAAAAAGTGATGTTGAAAAACAAAATTGTCAATTTTAGGTTTCCAATTTTTAACTTACTAATAAAAAAAATTAAATTAAGTGATTTTGAAAATAAAATTGTCAATTTTAAATTTCAAACTTCTGACCTATTGATGATACGATCAACTTATAATCGTTAGACTACCAAGTAATTTTGCTTCTTCTTATCCATACTTATTACATATCTATGTTGCATTTTTTAAATCATATCAATTTTTACTTGTAAAAGTGATTTTCAAAAACAAAATTCTCAATTTTAGGTTTCCAACTTTCAACTTACTGGTTATATGATTAACTTGTAACCGTTAGATTGCCAACCACTTTTGCAACAACTTATCAAGAACAAATACGTTTCTATGTTGAATGTTTTTTTATTTACAACTTACGTACATAGAAATTCACCTTGGATCTTAATGGGCATGCAACCACGACCATCTCTGGCATCAGTATGGAATTTGGAACCATTCCAAATGGGCCATAGAGATCCATGAATCCAGCCATAAAGCATAGTATTCTATAAATTGTAATTCAATGGAAGGCCCAATAGAAAATGTGTTTCCTTTATCAAATGAATTAAGGGCCCAATATTTTCCCTTTACTTTTATAAACAGAGTAAATTTATTAAACTACAAAATAATAATCCACCAACAGTCATCAAAGACGAAAACGGTTCAGCTTCCTTCTTCCCTTCCATACCTCTCTTCATTCTCCGCTGAAGAAAACAAAAAACCACCAAATTCGTTGCATGCACGCCGTTTCGCGTCCTCCTGTCTGCGTGATCCATTGTATTTTCAGTTCCAGTCAACCTTCCCCAAAATCCTACCTCGCAACATCTCTCCTTTCAATCTCTCAACAACAGCAAAGTTTTTTCTACCCTCTGATATCTCCAGTCGCCGATTACCAAAACGAATCCAGATTATGTGAAGGTATTAGATCTAAACCAGGCTACGAATACTACTAACATCTTGTGGAATGATCAAGTTCAGAACCGAGAAGTCAAATGCACTTCTAAGTAGTTATTGATATTTTTTAGGTCTCATTCAGTTTGATATTTACTTATTTGCAGAGACCTTCTTTTGGCTTTTTACAAATCAAATCGGATCAAGCCTCATAGGATCTTATTCTACAGGTAAAACTTCTTATGATTGTTGCATGCTCTGATTTGGTACCTTTTTCTCCTTTTTCCTACTCCCAAAATTGCTAAACTTGACTTAAGATCCAACGAAAACACTGCGAGCTTCATACGTGCGTTTTTTTCCATGGTTTCTCATACAATGTGGTTGGATTTATTAAAATAAGGGACATGATTAGTTATGAGTTATTCTATTGTAAAACAGCATTAATCCATAGTTGAGATCGTATATCTCTTTCTTTCTTTTCTTGGATCTGATTACATAGTATGTGTTGCATACAAACAAAACATTTTATATTGTTTGTTTAATACGAAGTGGAGTTCAGTTATGGGTATAACAGTTTCCATTGAAGATCCATTAAACAGTATATGCTTTGTTATAATTAAGAATCGAATATCCAGGTAAGAATCAAAGATGAATAAGTCAAAAGAAGTAAAATCCAGGTCCAATTGAAAAATTCATCGAAGGATTGACAGAGCCATGTCTTGCTTTGCTATTGTTTGTTTATATTTTGTTTTACATGATTAGTTGATTAGTATAAGAACTCTAATCTTTGTTGATATAATTGATCAGAGTCTATTTGGTATTGTTGAAATGAATATGAATTAGTTATTAATTCAACATTGGAAGTGTAATATACATTGTGGTCCCAACCAATAACTAACATTGTTTATTTTAATGATCCTAAAAAAGGCAGTTACTTCTAATAATAGATATTAAGTAGAATGAAATAAGTTTGATAAATATTTGAAGATGGATATAATACCTGAATGGAACCATAAGTAATTGCTTCCTAACCAACTCATAATAAACATATTCTTGTGATCTCATAATTTCTCAATACAGTTGCTAATATTGTTAATAATCTAAATTATAGGTTTTTTACCATGGGAGATAATTTCGTTATGAATCTAGACTATGAAATTGCCGCAGCAATTTGGCAGACTGTGGAAACAATAGATCTTATTCCAATGCAATTGGATGGTGCTAATCAGGTGACTAAAATAATATGTTTTTTTATCTATCCTTCTCTATCACTTATCTCAATGATTTGTATCTGATTTGGTATTATTTTCAACTCCTTATGTTTTGAATTATATCAGAGCAAGTCGTACATTTTATCTGGCGTTGTAACAGACTTGAGGAGATCTTGGTGTGAGGCATCCAAGATATTTTTGATTCACTTGACCATTGAAGATGACATTACTGATGTTGAGGTCATGTTCCCATCAGCTTACTTAAGGAGAATCATGTGTTCTGTTGTCGATCCCTCTATGATTGAAGATGCAGATTATGTTACACTTCTCAACATGATTTGTGAGAAGAAATATAAGGTCTTGGTCACATTCGGTCGTTGGAATGACGTAGGGAATTATCTTGATCTCTTCTTGGTTAAGTTGTTCCCAGCTTTAGATAACTAAGTAGCATTGGGTATTATTAATATGATCAGATTAATATTAGTAATGGTCCACCTCTCTTCAATTTCTAATGATCTGTAAGCGTAATGGATATGTGAACGCTAATATCTTTTGTAAGTTTATTATCCTTTTGGGGTGGTACTTTATGTAAAATATGAATTTAATTTAGTTATGGTACTTTGAAAAAATTAGTCATAATAGATGTAACTTGATTGCTACTATTAATGCATTTTAGTTCCAAATCATTATTATTTAATTTAGTTATACAACAGTCCTACTATTAATGCATTTTAGTCCCAAATACCTTCAATTTATTATATGAAATAGTATAGTGAGACTGCCAACTGGCAAACCAATTTAACACAAATCAAATAACAGAAACATAGGGAGAGAGAACAATAGAGAGGAGGAGGAAGAACGGAAGAAACACAAAGGGGAAAATCTCTTTAATAGTAAAGAGGGCCAAACCCAATTCTCATTTGGAAAAGCCCAAGAAAAGCTAGCCCATGGTATAGGCTACATAATACCCAATTGAAATATTCAGAAAAAGCTACAAATCTAAAATATGTTCACAATCATAAGTCCAAGTGCAAATCAGCAACATTCAGTACTTAACAAACACATGACAAACTCTGGAACACAAAATAAATGCAATGAAAATATCCTAGCTGCAACAAATTCTTTGTTGGCGTTGCAATCACTCCAGGGGCATCTTCCTCTTCAATTTGTTGTCTGGAGTTGCATCAGAATCCACTGGTGTTTCAATCGATTTTTCAATAGCAGACTGTCCAGAATGATCAGAGGAGGGTTGAGAACATGCAGGCCCACTCGCAATAGAAGAAGATGATCCATCTTTGTGAATCATATAACCTTCTCCCTGAGATTATAATATCCAAATGTAACATTAGCCAGTAAAGAAATTATAATAGGATTCTTGACTGGGAAAAAAAGATTACAATCTAGATCAATACTGAGATAGAAAAGTGATCATAACACTTCATTCTTATTTAAAGAGGAAAAATACTTGCAGGGATATCTACTGACCTTTGAGGTGGGTTCTAGTATTCTCAACACAGTAAAATGAGCCTGGGAATCAGCAAAAAGGTTGGTATTGAATTTGACATGGAATCTCTTGGTCACACCTACCAACTGAAGCAATTCATCAGGTGGCAAGTCACCATTCTGCCCATTTTTCAGGAATAGTTCATGACCACTCAATCCAAAGTATCGCTTTCCTTCATACTCAAAGAGTACAAATAATGCTGACTTCAAATCACTTTGGACTTCAAGTTGAACACGGTATCTGCACAAAACACGAATTTCAAATAAAATTAATGGAAATAATTACAGTTCAATGAGGAAGAATAATGAATGTCAACTAAGTAGGAGATGTTTACTTGGCAGCCTTGGCTGATATTCCCTTGTTGCATCTAACACAATAGTACTCATTTTGCCTTTGTATAGGCTTCAAAACACAGGTAGGACACCCCATATAACACCAGCCTGATTTAATTCCAACAACTTTGCATTCAACAGCAAACACCATTTCCTAATACCAAATACGTTTACTATAAGTCTCTAATGAAATGAAAATGCAAATAGTATAACAAATATGAAAGACCATAGAAGTAACCTCCTGGTCTGGATCCTCTTGTAATTTCAAAAGTTCAGAAAGTGAAATAACAGGGAATTCAGGAGGTGGCGGTGGTTCCACAAAGACAGGCAACTCTGGTTGCACAGTACTGATTTGAACAATAAAAAAATCAATAATTAAACAAAACTAAATACCAACACAATGTCATAGACACAGTACGGTGATGAATACCCGGTAGCAAAAGCTTTGACAGTTGGAATATCGAGGTTACGATACACAACTGTTGACCCGGATGATGAAAATGATAACTCATCTACAAAAACCAAAAATCAGTCTAGTATTGCCACTGATCTTGCCACTCATAACAGTATTAAACATAAGAAAGGAAAGAAATAATAATAGCACCTTTGAAGTCACCCACACTAACAGCTGAAATGACCAGTATATTCTAATCATCACCATGAGCATCAATAATCTTATCCAACTGTTGAATAACTCTTCCCCAAATAACTACTTTGACAACATCACCCCTACATAAATTTGAAACAAATATCTAAGATGTTTAAAAAACTAATCTTGCAAACAAACATGAATGCCAAAAGTGAAATAATGCTCCCTCAACAAATAAAAGAAAAACCAACCAGATAGTGAGCAATCAAATTCAACAAAAGTTTTCTAAATGCCTTTCATGTCATACATATAAAAAAAACTCACTCAATCAGTTGCAATGTGAGCTCTTTCCTTATAGTTTTCCGAGTAAGGCTGGTAGTAGTAATTGCATCTGAATGTGTGCGCAGTTGACCAACAACATCTACAACAAATCATTTTAATAAAATAAATTCAGATACACATTATTTCCTAACTGAAAATACATGTACGAATGAAGAAGTAACCTGAAAGGATCTCAACATGACCCAATTTGCCCGCCATCTGACTTGCATTTAGGAAACTGAATTTGAAGGTTGGAATTGCAGGAACTTCAGGAACATGATGAACAGTTGTCTTCCTACTAAATTGTATCAAATATGGATTCCCAATAGGTCGATATTTCAGTCCAGTTGTATTGATATCGAAGTTCTTGATAATATAAACATGGTTCTCCTTCAGCATCTTCTTAAACGTTTCTATCAACACAGGAGGGATTTGTACCCAGATATCATTGCCCTTCAAAATGGAAACGAAAACTAAATTTAAAAAACAGCACTCATTTTGGAACAGAATCTTCATATGCCATGAAAGAAGTGATTACCTTTGAATCCATCAAAATGAGGTCAAAATGGAGAATTTTGTTTGTATGTACATTCACCCCAAGCCACATTCTGGAAACACGACATTGACCTGACCAAATCTTCTTCTCCGACTCAAGGTCACGAATGCTTTGGGAATCCATTCTAGAGACTCAGCAACAAAAAAGGAGGTTATTGAAGAGCTACGAGATTGCATCAAAACAGTAGATACAGTTACAAAAATTGAACGTGAATTGATACCTGGGAGAAAAACAAATGAGCACAGAAAATTGTCAACTGCTGTGTCTAAGCTGATATATATAGTTCCTGAAGACAGTAGCAGTTACTTCAACTTTGAAAAAGCCACGTCGGCCACGCAGAGCTACATTTTCGGAATGGAGAAAAGCTGCACACACTCGGACGATTCCCGCGGAAGATTATTGCTGAATAGAGATAACTGTAACTCTAGGCAACTATGACCTTCATTTTGTAAATATAACTCACAAAATTTGAGAGGGCCTTCTAACTTGGTCTCTTCTATGCAGCTAATTCTGACTCCTGGATTTCCCAATTTCAGACCTCGTTCCAGCTGAGAGCTCATAATCTTCACCTCAACGCTAAATTTGATATGTATTTGGGCGAGATTGGTAAACTGATTAATAGAATGGTGCAAATAGGATTGGAATTTGGTTGGAGATGGAAATACGAATGTGATTTCACCGCCGGTACCAAGCAAACAGGAATCTACCGCAAATATAAAAATGGAGCTAGGGTTCCCTATGGCTTCACCGCAAGTTAATTGTATTCCATGTTTCTAGCCCTTGAATTTTGTGTGGGCTTTCAATATGGGTCAGAGGTGACTAATCTTCAAATTGGGAATGGCAACAAAATAGAAGCTCATTTCTATATCAGATTGTCATCGAATAAAAGCCCTAATTGAACAATGGTAAATATCAAATATAAATCAAAATAGATCCTAGTTAAAACTAATGGCACTAAATTGGAATAAGACTCCACTGTATTCAATTCCAAATAAATTAATACCAAACAAATGCACCAAATGATCGATTTGTTCTCCATGGGAATAACAATCTGTTAATAACACATAAGAGCAGTACTACTATTTTAAACAATAGACTGGGTATAGTTGCTTGAATAAACAGGAAGCAAGTTTGACATTTACAACTAAAGAAAAGCAAAGCTGTATTACAAAGGAATAAATATAGCAAATTAATCTCATGTCTGATCATACAAACCACACTGCAACTTGTAAATTCAATCAAAAATTTCTGGGAATACTATGTTTAGCATCGAGTTCGGGTCTTCATCATTATCATTCTCAATTAAGATTTTGAGACCTTGCCTTGTTGTAATTCTGGACAATGCAACATAGAGTTGGCCATGACTGAAAACCTGCCTCTGGAGACATAAGCCAACATGATCAAGTGTTTGTCCCTGACTTTTATTAATAGTCATGCCAAAACATAGAGCAATAGGATATTGTCTTCTAAGGAGAGTAAAATTAAGACTTTTGTAATATGTTAACAATGTAAGTCTAGGGAGAAACACACGATCACCTATATTGGTACCGGTCAAGACCTCCACCTCAATGAACCATTTCCCCAAAGTCTTAACAATCATTCTGGTACCATTGCAGAGCCCAACTGTTTGATCCATATTCCGCATCAAAATTACTGGACATCCCACTTTAAGTTTCAGTTCATAATCAGGAAAGTTACCAACCTTCAATGTATTCAGAAACTTAGTAGTATAATCAACATCCACCACACCCTCCTTTCCAGGATCCACTTGAATTGAATCTGAGCTAAAATATGTGACCTCATCTCCTGGAAATTTTGCTAAAGTAAATGTATTGATTGCAGAAACCATATCATGGTGTGGTGCCAAAATAGCTCGTCTGACCAAATAATTATGATCTGAATAATGACTCAAAAGATCACCATAAATTGAACCCACAATATCAGTAACAGGATCTGGAAATCAGCAATTGCTAGAATTTCTTCTGGACATTGATTGCCACGTGATAGCCTCATATTTTGAATCAATTTGATTACCTTCAAATGCTGCCACAAATAAGACCTCTTAATAGATGAGTTGACACAATCAGCTCGTGTACCTTTCAATATTATAGGCAGGGTTTGCCTGAAATCCCCTCCAAAAACAATTGTCAGACCTCCAAATGGTTTCTCATCACTATTTTGATATCGGAAACGTAATATATCTCGTAATGATTTATCCACAGCTTCCACCACATGTTTATGAGACATGACAACTTCATCCCAAATAATCAAAGAAGCACGTTGGATTAATTCTGCCAACTCACCTCCCTGTTCAATATGACAGGTTGATCGCGCATCAATATCAACTGGAATATGAAATTGGGAATGAGCTGTTCTCCCACCATCCATCAAAAGAGCTGCAATACCAGAAGAAGCAACACATAAAACCACCTTCTGATCTGAACGCAATTTCAAACAAATGACCTGCCACAAAAAGGTCTTTCCCGTTCCGCCACAACCATTAATGAAAAATGACTTTCCTTGGTCACCATACACTGAAGCCATAATTTCATCATAGGCGACTCTTTGTTGGTCATTTAATTTGGATATCATACTATCAAATTTATAACGAAGATCTGAGGCATTATAGTTAAGCTCTGCAACGATCAATCTATTAGATGAAGATTGCAACATATCAAAATTGGGAACTGGTAAACCTGGAAAGTCTGAAATAGTTTTGCAATTCCTGGAGAGCAATTTATCAATTTCAAGCAAGCAACATTCTTTCAATTGAGACTCCGTCATCTCCAAAGTAGGCATATTAAGTTGCTTCCGACGGGAATACAAAATATCATCGGACAACATTGTCCAATTTCTTTCCCATAATCTGCCAATATCTGAAACTTGACATAAAGTTATTATAGTGACAAATGAATCTCTAAGCTTCTGACCTGATGCCCAAAGAGATGCTTCAGCTAAACAGTCATTCCATTCATTATCTTCTGCCAATAACCCATGAGCATAACATGCCTCCTTGAAAGATTTATGTATAACTCCATTCACGGTCCTGATATCCTCAAAACTAACTGCTCCACGAACAATGTGTAGGAGCATACATAGGTAGAATTTGTCATTTGTTGGTGAAGGATGACAATAGTATAACCGACCAATTGAGAATTTGGACTTCCTTCTGTGCCAATCTCGTTTTGTTTGATCCCGGACATAGAACTGGGGAAATTCTACAAAAGTGTACTGCCTTGCTTCTGGAGATGATTGATTCATTTTCATCCATCTCAATAACATAGAGGTCTGAGCTCGTTTAGATCGAAGTAACCCTTGAGGATTCTGGTTTTTCTTTGAGACAACAACGTTCTGCCCCGGAAGATGATATGACATACGTAATACAGATGGATATTGTGAGTAGACATCAAATTTGAATAACCTCCAACATGCTTCACCAGATGTTATATAACGACAGTCTAAAAATGACTTGATCTCATCGATACGTGGAAGATGGTCAGAACTTGAAGCACCCATATCACCACCTGTAGCACTTTGAGTTCCAACGAATGATGCTTTAGCTCTATCTTGTGGTTTATTGATATACTTGAAGAGATATTTGATTGCCCTGCAATCAAAACACAATAATGAAATACCATATATAAAAAATCATGTATAGGATTTTTTAATAATTGATTAACAATTTATACAAAATAACCCAACATAATTATAAAAACATAACGAACAACACGAAGCACATCTGAAAATTAAAATCATTCAGCACATACCTCGATTTATTACAGAATTCAACATTAATATGTGCATCGAAGCGCAATAATAAATAGCGATTATACGGAACAACGAAACGGTTATCCAGAGCCACAGAGTGGATATTAAAAGATATCCCAGTATCACGTCGTCGATATTTCGCAAAACCTTTATCATCAATTATAGTTTGCTCGCAAAACTGCTTTGGGAAATGTTTCGTACACACCCCACCTTGAGTGCAAGGAGCATTACGACCCAAAGCACCACATGGACCATGCAACATAAATGCAGTTACAGCTCGATAACCTTCTGGATCTAGATCACGATTAGGTATCTCTGCTGATATTACAGAATCTATTTCCTTGGGACGACTTAGTTTATATTCCGCAGTTAGGAAAACTAACAAATGAGCATGAGGAAGACCCCTCTTCTGAAACTCAATAGCCATGACATCTGTAAACAAAAAATATAATATATAAAGAACTAAAATTCATAACAAATACATGATCACTCAACTTCATTTGCACTAATAAATGATTGATAAATGATTGATAAATATAATCTGTCACTTGTAAACTAAACAGGCAACACATGTATCGATCTATAAGATTTGTTCTTGCAATTGCAATTGGTTTTATATATGATTGAGCAAGATATGTCTTTTGCTAAAAAATGAAACCAAAAATAGTATTGCAACACGTGTATGTCTATATTATAGATATACATATGATTACTAAAGAACCAAATTAAAAAAGAGACTTTTGCAATATCATTATCTACACAGGCAGAAACATAGGATGATTGAGGAATATAATAGTAAAAAAATTAAATCTATAAAGAAACATATATAAAACAACTTACATCCAGTTGTAGCCGCAAATATTTTCTTATCTCTAATCTCAGACATCAACTGATGCAATTTAAGTTTGAATACTCTAGCAAAGATATCAGATCGATTGACATCTTTCCAACCATCCGAGTTAACCAAATCAACCATAAATTGGATTTCAGGCCAATTTGCATTACAGGTAAATGTAATAAACAAATCCGGGTATCCCAACCACCTACAAATAGCCATAGCATCCTGAAAATTCTCATACTTGTATCGTGGACTGCCTGTATGTGAAGCTGCAAGAATAACATGCTTGCCAGTCGAGTCTAGATCAGAGTCACCACGTAAAAATGCATCCACCAAACCACTCACATAATGAGCACGCAATTTAGATTGGTTATTTCGAATCCAATCAAGACGTTCAGCTTCAACCAATGCATAAGCATTCACCACATACTGTTGAAATAACTTCCCAGTTAATAACATTGCATTTGATTGATCAAACCTGGTCTGAAGACGATATGCATAATAATCACACTGGGACAAAGTATTGTTATTCCAAAGATCTTCTTCTTCATCATCCTCATCAACACAGGGTATATCAGGATGCCAACCATCCTCACCATAAGGAAAGAGAAGAGGATATTGTAATGCCATTAATGATGGATGTCCATAATTAATTCTCTCTAATTCAGAGCTCTTATATTGAACAATAATGTCTGGCTCAAATGTATCCTGACCAGTTTCATCCACTATCAAAGCTGCAACATCATTTCCCGTTGGTAAGTCATATTCTCTACCATCCTGTGCACGCTTAGCAAATAATTTGATCTTTAACTCTTCAACGGTAGCTTCAGATAATTTTTCCCGAGCCATGCGAAAGGTTTGCACCAAAACATTGTTCCTGTCAAACATTTCTTGCAAATCTCTAACAATCTCAGATCGCAACGTATTTGAATGATCTTCACTTGGAAATAATTGGAGTCGATTCTGAAGCTCGGAGGTAGATTCATGAATATATAATTGTGCAAATCTAGGTGGTTGACCTTCAACCGGAAGCAAGCTGCCTATACTGTGATATATCTGACCACTTATAGAATAGACATATACACCACCACCATCATTTATACCACGATCCACTTTACCGCCAAGGGAAATGAAGCTAAATATGGCATTGTATATACGGATAGCCTCCCTAAAGTGCCGACTCATAGGAGTTGAAGATTCCAAGAGATCTTTCAAATATCCAGGTGGATCTCGCCTAGGAGGCAATTTCACCCTACCTCGTTTGCAACATAATGGAAACACCGGATTAGCATGACTCCTAGAATGTAACGTGCTTTCTTCGGCCCACATCACTGCATTACAGTATTGACAAAGGCACGAAGGTTCACCAAGACTGAAAACTTCAACGGAAGGAAGACCTACACACAAAATCTCACATAAGACTATTGAAAAATAAATAGAAAATAAAAATTCAAGAGGGAAATATGTTACATAATGCAAACCAACCATGATTACGTTCGAATCCCCTAGGTATAGCATTAACCAACCGTCTTCTCAATAAACAAATAGAACGTAGTACACGCGCTCGTTTTGACCGCAAACGTAACAAACACGAAGTATAATCTGTGAGAAAAAAGAAACTACATAATTCATCATCATCAAATCATAATCAAACAATGACAACGACAACTATTATAACTACAGATAACTACCAATATTTAGAGGCAAACGACGTTGAACTGCACGTGTACTACGCCTATTCATAAGTATACGACGTTGCTTGCGATGGATTTGAGCCAACAGTAAATCCATTCGACGAAGTTGAACATTTAACCTATCAGTCCCTGCGAAGGAAAACGTTGTGTACGATAACAAATAACATACACCACAAACAATATTTTTAAGAGTAGTAGCAAACAGGAATAACGGATAATTACGTTGATTAAGACGGGCTCGTTCAGCCACAATTTGTTTTTGCGGAGGATGTTTAGGCGGCCTGCAAATAGCCCTCATCAACCCTACAAATCAAATGATTGTGACTACCAATACATAACTTCCTCCCCTCCAAACAGCATCCAAAAAATCAAATTCATAAATGTCATCATCTCAATACTAACATTGACCCCTGTTCTGCTGAAGTCGTTTTATTGTCAACGAAGGATCAGGAGAATCCTGCTGAAGTCGAGCATCTTGCTGAAGTCGATTTATTGCTGAAGAACAACCAGGAGTATCTTCAATACGAACCATAGATGGACAAACCGGACGACGACAACGATGAACACTGGAAAAACAAAACCCTGATGCGATATTAACCTCAACACTGACCTCTGAAAAAACAAAAACCTGATGCGATATTAACCACGTAGGGAACGCAATTATGGGCCAAGTCCAGCAATTAGAATTTACCGACCAATATTATTAGCCCATTTCACTTCATTAATCAGCCAGAAAGCCCAAAAATGTAAGTTCAACCCACCAATTAATGCCAGCCAAAAACGATGCACTTCATTAAGCGGCCAAGACAATGAAATGACAAAACTGCTCCGCCGTGAAGCTCTCAGAAGCCTCCAATTTTGAATCCCTGCAAAAACAACCCATGAATCTGCTTCATATATTTTATAGATTCATGGACGTGGTCAAACAACGACGCCGCTCAATCATATCGCTGCTGTTGGAAATAAATTATTTCCTTTAGTAATTTGGTGGGCACGTTTATGGGCTAAGAAAATGAAATTTGGATTTTTGATATGATGGCCACGTTTTATACAAGGAAAGAAAGTTTTGGGGTTTTTATAATTGGAGATTGGAAGAGAGCTTTTTTAGAAAGAATGTAGGCGACAGAGAAGTGATGAGAAAGAACTTCACTTGTCTTTATTGAGAGGCTTTCTTTGTTCTTATTTTGTTTTTTGGCTCTGCTTCTCCGGTACAAACACACAAGCCTATTTATAGGCATTATAAAACAAAATATCAAGGCCAAACCGCCTTTGCTTGTGGTTGGTATTTTATTGAATTGTTTAACCTATAATAATTCAACTAACCAACCACCACATTTAATTAAGTTTCTACACAACTCCACACACACCCACGGTTCTAGCTTCTTCCTGATTTTATTTTTATTTTTTAATTAAACTTTAATTATTTCAACACTCCCCCTTAAAGTTTAGTTATTCGTAACTCCGAGTAGCGTCCTCATCTTGACAAATATATCCTGTTTCAGTGGCTTCGTGAAAATATCAGCAATCTGGTCTTCAGTTTTCACATACTTCAGCATCACTTCTTTCTGCTCAACGCATTCTCTCAGAAAATGATATCTTGTATCAATATGTTTACTGCGATCATGAAACACCGGATTCTTTTCTAACGCCAGGGCAAACTTATTATCAACATAAATCTCAGTTTACTCTTCTTGTGATATGTTAAACTCCTTCAGCAACATTCTCAGCCATATTGCATGACACGCACACGATGTCGCAGCAACATACTCAGCTTCACAAGTTGACAGTGTCACGATAGCTTGCTTCTTTGAACTCCATGTGAAAGCTGTATCTCCCAGTAAAAATACGAATCCTATAGTGCTTTTGCGATCATCCACGTCTCCTGCCCAATCACTATCGCAGTATCCAACCAACTTGAATTTTTCTGACTTAGTATAAAATAGACCATGATCAATTGTACCTTTAATGTAGCGCAATATTCTCTTGGCAGCATTCCAGTGTGACATTGTCGGTGCCTCCATGTATCTACTGACTAATCCAACTGCGTAGAGAATATCTGGTCTGGTACAAGTCAGGTATCTCAGACTTCCCACCAGGCTTCTAAACTCCGTTGAGTTGACCTTTTCTCCTTTACCATCCTTGGATAACTTTAGTCCGCACTCTGCTGGTGTGCTCACAGGATTACAGCTCTCCATCTTAAACTTCTTCAGGACCTCCTTTGCGAAGCCACTCTGTGAGATAAAAATTCCTTCCTCCTTTTGAGTTACTTCAATTCCAAGATAGTATGACATTAGTCCGATGTTTGTCATCTCGAACTCACGAACCATCGTCTTCTTGAACTCTTCAAACATCTTAGGATCGTTTCCTGTGAAGACGAGATCGTCTACATATAGGCAAACCATCAAGATTGCTCCCCCTTGTACCTTGCAGTATAGTGCATGCTCATGTGGGCATTTGCTGAATCCGTTCTGCTGAAAGTACTTGTCAATCCTGCTATTCCAAGCTCTCGGTGCTTGTTTCAAACCATATAGTGCCTTTTTCAGCTTCAACACCTTATCTTCTTGACCTTCAATGATATATCCAGGGGGTTGCTCAATATAGATATCTTCCTCGAGATATCCATTGAGAAAAGCTGACTTCACATCCATCTGGTGTATCTTCCATCCATTTTGAGCAGCGAGAGATATCACCATCCTGATACTCTCCATTCTCGCCACGGGAGCAAATACTTCATTGTAGTCAATGCCTGGTCTCTGACTGTATCCTTTTGCCACCAACCTTGCTTTGTGTCTGACGACTTCTCCTTTAGCATTTTTCTTGGCCTTGAATACCCACTTCACACCGATGGGCTTCTGGTTCTCAGGTAGCGACACAAGCTCCCAAGTCTTGTTCTTCACAATTGCTCCAATTTCTTCATCCATAGCTTTCTTCCATTTTTCATCCTTCATGGCTTCTTCAGCATCCACTGGTTCATCATCAATGAAATGACAGTAGAGTGTCAATTCATCACCTTCAATTGCTGTAGTTTCCTCATATAGATCTTCAAGACGTCTGTACTTCTGTGGCCTCTCTTTTGGACTTTCACTTGATTCTCCTTCTGGGCTGGCAGGTTCTCTGTGACTGGGTGGATTTGTCACAGGTGTAGTTGCATCTGGTTCATCATCACTTTCATCCATAGTGAATGGATAAAAAGTGTAATTCTTCTTTGCTTCAGCAGTCCAGTCCCATGTTGCTTCTTCATCAACTACTACATCTCTGCTGATGATCAACTTCTCTTCCACGGGATCAAACATTTTGTAACCTTTTGAGTGTTCTGAGTATCCCAGGAATATGTACTTCTTGCTTTTGTCATCCAACTTCTTCCTTTCTTTATCCGGTACGTGCACATATCCGACACTTCCGAAGACTCGGAGGTGAGAGATTGTGGGTTTCCTTCCGCTCCATGCTTCTTGGGGTGTTTGATTCCAAACACTCTTTGTTGGTGACCCGTTCAGCAGGTAGACTGCACAATCAACAATTTCAGCCCATAGCTCCTTTGGCAGGTTCTTGCTCTTCATCATGCTTCTCGCCATGTTGAGGACAGTTCTGTTCTTCCTCTCAACAACTCCATTTTGCTGTGGGGATCTTGGGACTGTGAGAAACCTGCGAATTCCTTGATATTCACAGAACCTTCTGAACTTCTTGAGCATAAATTCTCCACCTCTATCTGATCTCATGGCTTTGATGTAGCGGCCACTTTCATTCTCCACGAGCATCTTGAACTTCTTGAAAGCTTCAAATGTGTCTGACTTCTGCTTCAAGAAGTAAACCCATGTCTTTCTACTGTAGTCGTCAATGAACAATAGGAAGTATTTGTTCTTTCCGAACGATGTTGGGGTGATCGGTCCACAGAGATCTGCATGGACGAGCTCAAGTGGTGCTTTAGCTCGTGACAGGGACTCTTTTGGGAAACTTGCCCTGAATTGCTTTCCAACCAAGCATCCTTCACACAGTTGGTTAGGATGATTAATAACGGGCAGACCATGCACCATCTTCTTCTGACCGAGTAACTTTAGGCCTCCAAAATTCAGATGGCCATACCTCATATGCCACAACCATGTAGTGTCCTTCACGCATGCTTTCAAACACTTCGCCATTTCAGTCTGAATGTTCAGGGTGAACATTCTGTTTCTTGACATTGGGACTTTGGCCAACAACTGCTTTTTCTCATTTAGCAGCTCTAATTGACGATTCACCATATGGAATTCATAATTCTTCTCCATCAGCTGCCCCAAACTCAGGATGTTACTAGTCATGTCTGGGACATAGTACACATCATTGATACATTGCTGTGAGCCATTCTTTAACCGGATGAGTATAGTTCCTCTTCCTTTGATAGGAACCTTCGAGGAGTCTCCAAATACAACATTTCCTTTCACCGATTCATCCATATCCACGAACATGCTTCTTTTACCGCACATGTGGTTGCTTGCTGCATTATCCAGATACCACATGTTGTCTTTCGGCTTCTCGTCTCCTTGATGTGACAACATCAATGTGCCTTTGATTTCTTCTTCTTGCACGTTGTTTGCCGTCTCCTCCACTTCTTTAGGCGGACTCCAACATTCCGATGCATAATGCCCGTACTTCGAGCAATTATGGCACTGGACGTTGGATTTATAACGACCTTCATTTGATATCCAACTTCCTCTTCCGCGTCCACGACCACGACCTCTGCCTCTGGTGGACGTTTCATAGTTCATGGTGAAATTTCCTCCATCTCTGCTTTGATATGCTCCTCGAGCTCTTCCTCTTCCTCTGCCTCTGTAGTTGCCTCTGCCTCGGCCTCTGTACTGACCTCCTCCTCGAGCACCTTCTTTCTCCTCAGTGGTAGCTTTTGTAGCTAACACTTGTTCTGATGATTCTTCATTTCTTTTATTTAATCTTTCTTCTCTAGCTTGCAATGAGCCAATAACTTCATCCACTGTCATTTTTTATACGTCCTTAGCTTCCTCCATGGCCACCACCACGTAGTCAAATTTTGGTAATAGCGATCGTAGAATTTTCTCCACCACTTTGGTCTCTTCAATTTTCTCCCCATACTGCTTCAGTTTGCCGACGACTGACTTCACACGGGCGGTGTAATCTGAAACAGATTCACCTTCCTTCATTTTAATGGCTTCAAAATCTCCCCTGAGTGTTTGAAGTCGAACCTTCTTCACTGGTTCCACGCCTTGCATTTCCTTTTGCAGAATCTCCCATGCTTCCTTTGCTGTGGTAGCATCTGCTATTTGGTCGAACATCGATTCATCAAGACACTGATGAATGAGAGTGAGTGCTTTTTGATCACTCTTTCTATTTTTTCTCAATACCTCCTTTTCAGCGGGAGATAACCGAGAATCCTCAATGGGAATCTCGTAACCTTTCTCAACAATATCCCAAGCATCTTGGGATCCCAGCAAGGCTTTCATACGAATGCACCAATTTTTATAATTGGTTTTGGTAAGGTGGGGGAATTGAATGGGGAAAGTAGATTTTTCGGCCATGGGACAATCGTGATAACAAAAACACGAGAAATTCTTTTCTGATGTGGAAGTTCAGACTATGCTGCAGCCACAGAGCATACTCAGAAATAACTCGGGCTCTGATACCACTTTGTTGGAAATAAATAAATTATTTCCTTTAGTAATTTGGTGGGTACGTTTATGGGCTAAGAAAATGAAATTTGGATTTTTGATATGATGGCCACGTTTTATACAAGGAAAGAAAGTTTTGGGGTTTTTATAATTGGAGATTGGAAGAGAGCTTTTTTAGAAAGAATGTAGGCGGCAGAGAAGTGATGAGAAAGAACTTCACTTGTCTTTATTGAGAGGCTTCTTTGTTCTTATTTTGTTTTTTGGCTCTGCTTCTCCGGTACAAACACACAAGCCTATTTATAGGCATTACAAAACAAAATATGAAGGCCAAACCGCCTTTGCTTGTGGTTGGTATTTTTTTCAATTGTTTAACCTATAATAATTCAACTAACCAACCACCACATTTAATTAAGTTTTTACACAACTCCACACACCCACGGTTCTAGCTTCTTCCTGATTTTTATTTTTATTTTTAATTAAACTTTAATTATTTCAACAGCTGCATGCCACTCCAAATCCAATCACGCTTTGCCCATCCATCCAATTGCTGTTGTATACACAATTCAATATGGCACACGGGAATCCCAACCTATATACCCCACCAGGCTATTAGTCAGCTGGCCGGCCGCCGATCACTCCGATGCATGCAGTAACTAATCAGTACAGTTATTTAGTTTATAATGTTATTCCCGTACCCAACTTTTTTCGATTAAAATTTTAATAGATTATATATATTTTTAATATGGAATAGAAAAAAAATTTACACAGAAAAGTACACTAATTAACATTTGCTTTGATATATTTTGAAGTTGGTAAAATTTTATAGATCACCGTGAATTTGATTTTTCTATGCATTGTTTTCCAAAATTCGAGTTAAAATGAATGAGGTAAAATGTGGTAGAGGATTACTTCTGTACAAAAGGCTTCAAAATTCATATTAAAGTAAAGGAGTGCACCTATGGTGACATGCGTGTCACCGTAACATGCATTTTTCGGTCGACCTATTCCTAACCGCGATCGACCGAATACACTAATGTGGGCAATATGATGACTTATCACGGTCGACCGTTCAAATGTAGTGGTCGACCGTTTTGAGTTAAGTGGTGACATTAGCGGTCGACCACAATAAAACATGGGTCGCCCTTTTCATTGTAGTTTGAAGCAAACTGATCGACCGTAAAGATAATGAGGTCGACCACTTGATTGTGGTCATTACCAAAATGATCGACCATTTACAGAAAGAGGTCGACCAAATAGAAGAGAAAAGTGCTCTATCGATTTATCCATCCCTTTTTGAAGTGAAATGAAGATTAAGTGTTGGTCTCGAGGTCGACCGAATACAGTAAGAGGTCGACCGAATTAAGGAAATTTAGCCTATGGCCTTCGACTTTTTTGCATATGTATGACGATGTGTGTGGTTCGTTTTATCGTTCAAATTACGTATGATAGTCATTTGAATCAGTCTTATATCATGATAGCAAGGACCCATAACTTCTTAACATAACACACTAACAAGAAATATAATAAAACACACTTCATAAATGTTCACATAAAACACAATTCATTAAATCGAAAACCACATAACAACAAAAAACACAAGCTAAACTCATGGAATTCCTACACCTCTCCACTCTTTGAAACATCAAATTAGGTCGACCTAATCCTATATTAGGTCGACCGAAAAGTGCATGTTATGGTGACATACATGTCACCGTAGCAAAGTCCTAAAGTAATGGAGATAAAAATTAATTATATTAAAGATAAAAAGAATATTTCATGTAAACAGTTACCTAAATCTAGGGGGTACACATAAAATTACGAAACAAAAGGTAGTTAATTATGCAGTATCACTCCAGATAAGTAACACCACTACGACTACGTACTTAAGAATGTTTATATATTTGTTGATTTCATAATTTATTAGGTTTATTTCATTAGTGTTTATAATTGAATATTTGTCTGTTAAATCCTAGCTAGGTATATTAATATTAGATACTTACGGGCTACGGTTATCCGAAAACCGCGAATATAGAGATGGGTTGCAAAACCTCCCTCCACATGGGTGTAGGATCAATATAGATTAAGATTAATCGAAAATGAAGATAGGGATGGTCCAGAGAAACCCGCCAAATTAAAATCCGCCTAATTACCATTCCCACTAAGATAGGATGAGGTTGATGTGGATCTAGAGAATCCACCATCACAAGGTCGAAATTTGAATTTCGAGAGAGGAATCAACTTTTGAATTGCTGTTGGGAAGAAGAGGCTGGATGGAATTATGAGTTTGAATAATTAAAAATCAATTACTGTGTGCCATATATGATAATAAATGCGGCGTCAGGACCTTCCAGCCATCTAATATATTAACTAAAGAGGGCAACTTTTCAAAGAGAGAAAGAAACATGCAAAGCTAAAACTGACCTTAGCCAGGAGATTCAAACCTGGCTGCTATGGCTTGCCGCGCAACTTGATCCAACCAATTCGATTCAATTCAATTCTAATTCAACAGATAATTAATAGTAATGTGTGGATCACCACTACTGCAGTACTGGGCCTAGAGAAAGCGCCCCCCGCCTGCCTTCGTTTTACTCATCAATCTAACAACAGGCGCAACGTCGTCCTGGCCTCCCTCCTTCCCTCCATGCAATAATTTCTGACCACTCACTCCCATCTCTATTTATCACCATCCATTCATCCATCCATCAGGTCAACTTCTCGTGTATATATATGTGCGAAAGAAGCGCAACTCCGTCTCATCCAATATTCTTGGCTACACTGCATCTTCAGCTGCTACTGTCCAGAAAGAAGGAAAAAAAAAACCGAAGCAATAAAAATCATTAGCAAGATTGTAAAATTATACCGGAGATTGAACTGAATAAGTTAGCAGTAAAATATTTTATGTTTAAATCAGGGTCTAACGATCCATACCACTAAAAACCGTCAACCGATTTAGACTTCAGTAAAACCATCGATACGGTTTTACAAACACGGATCATTGGTAAACTCAATTATATTACTATTAATATTATTCCGATTCAGATTATTCCACGATTAACGCACCGAATTGAAAGGACCGTTTTATTCCAAGATTAACGCACCGAATTACAACTCTCAAATTCGGTTTATCTTGTCAACATTATGTAACATGGCTTCGTTTCTAGTTTAAGACAGTTTCCACAGTAATGTCAAACTAGCCAGCGAGCGCAACCTCCCAGGTCGATATTCTTGTTTAATATTTATATATTATAGTGATTATTATAGTGATTTATATATTAAATATCAAGAGTAACGATTAAGCAGCTAGCACGAGAAGTGAGTAGCAAACGGGCTTTGATCTTCCCACCCCACATGAAAAAACAAACAATAACATAAATGGATCATTAACTTATAATAAGTAAGCTAAATAAACTTCTATTCCCCTGCTAAAAAATAAGTACTTCCCTCCTCCATCACATATATATTATAATTAGCTGCAGCAATTTCGCATCACCACTTGAATAGGAATTTTTTTTATACTGGGTAAAGAACAACCAAACTACCTACTTATATGTAATGTAGGGGTGAAATTTTTGTTTATGGACAACCGCAAACCATACCAAAGCTTACATAGTGGTTAATCACAAATACAATTTATAGGCAGTATTTTTGTACAAACACACGCCAATATCATTATAGGCTAATTGTGAATCGCGGATTGTTTATAGCGCGACCGCAGATCCAGGCTTACTAGTTGTGAATAGCGGATTCGTTGCAGGAGACTGCTGCACCTATATGACAATATATTCACTACTCATATAATTTTCATAATTACCTAACATCAAGGCAGTAGATGGAGAACAAATTGATATGTAAGAAGCATTAAACATTTCATCTTAACAGGAATCCAAGATGTTCACACTACAAAAAAAGAGTCTATGGCAAGGGTTATTTTCCTTCGTAGCAAGGGTTTTAACCCCTGCTACAGGATGTAGCAAGGGTTTAGCGAACCCTTGGATGGACCCTTGGCAAAGCCGCCCCTGCTACGAGTAGCAAGGGTTATAAGCGACCCTTGGTGCAAGTCCCCTGCAGCAGTTGTAGCAAGGGTTTAAACCCTTGCTACACGTATGTGAAAAATTCAAGCGTGAGTTGCTCATACCATCGGTTATAACCCTTGCATAATTCGTTCCTACATCTAGCAAGGGTTTCGAGCCTTGCTACAGGCCTTTTTAACTTTATGTAAAATTGCTGAAGATACGCTACTTGAAAGGGTTTAAACCCTTGCACAGTTTGTGACTAAAGCTAAAAAACATTTGTGTCGAAATCAAAATGGTCACTAAAAGTCGTCACTAAAGAGAGGCAACAAGATTCGTGGCAAAAGTTTGGTTGCAAATACCCTGGTCATTAAAACAAATCAATAACCAAGTTTGTTACTAAAACTCATACCATATACCCATTAATCATAACATAATATGATTCATAATCCAAAATGGTGTTCTTTACATGACTAAATACTAATCACCATGAACATTCAAACGTACTCAAAAGAACCCAAAATGGTGTTCTTTACATGACTAAATTCTTACCATATACCCATGAATCATAACATAATATGATTCATAATCCAAAATGGTGTTCTTTACCATCGATCATTTCCAAAATGCTTCATACGACATTTGATCACGAAGCTCGAGATCCCATTGATGGAGTAGGAGCACTAGTGGCACCCTGCTCATAAAATAAAATAAAATAATTATAAAGATAACCCAGAATGTGATGTTACAGAATAGACCTAAGCTCAAGCACTCAGCTCATGGGTCAGCATACTCCACAATGTAATGTTAAGCAGTAAATACCTAATATCATTAATCAAACATGATACTCACACTTATGGAAGATAAAAACAGAAGTGCTCTGTTAGGTTTGGTTGCATGATTTGGATAGAAATAAAACCTCCCATTACCAATGTGATAACGAAGACAGAAGACACCCTCAACTCCAAAACATGTATGTAACCAACTTAATGTGGACACGATACAACAATAGAAGGAAGGGGGCTTGGGGTAGCACATCAACTCCAAACAAGGACCAGATAACGAAGACATAAGACACCCTCAACTCCAAAAATAAGACCTATATATGGCATTCAGTCAAAACAGGAAAACCCATGAACAACACAGCCCAAGCTGAAGCCACTACCACTATGACCAATTGAAAACACTATGATGTCTTCTCTTTCACTTATACAAAAACCCATTAACCCGAAATCTATCGAACTGAAAACATAGCAACAACCACAATATATCGAATCATATTACAAAAAACAGAATTCGAAGAAACTATGGACGCTCTACTCACCAACTACAAGATCGAGTTCACAGTACCCCCTAGATGATGTCTTCTCTTTCACTATTAAACCCTTTTCAATCATCAAAACACCACATGATCAAACAGTCTCAAGTTTCCCAAAAAGGTAAGCTATCAATCATTCATACCACCTTACTATATACTGAGAGCAAGGGCCTACCAACAACAGTAAGAATACTATAGCTCAAGGAAAATGAAGACAAATCACATTTTTCTAAACAACTACTAAAACAGAGATTTGATAAAACCAGCACAACGATTGCCTTATGATTCAAACCCTAAGAGATTCCATCTGTAACCTAACTAACACGAGCTCGCTCGCGCGAGAGAGGGAGAGGGCAAGTGAGGACAGAAGCTAGAGAGCTAGCCAGGGAGAGAGAGTAATGGAGGGAGGGAGACAAAAGACACCTTTCAACCGGAGCGAGCGACGGAGACCTAATCGAGCAAGGAAGATCGGAGACCGAACACCGGAGTGAGCGATGGAGACCGGAGAACCAACGGTCGGGGAGAGCGAGTACGATTGGAGAGTTGCCGGTCGGAGTGAGCGACTAAGACTGGAGAATCGACGGTGGAGTGAGCGAGGAAGATCGCGATCGCCCTTTCAGCTGGAGACAGCCGGAGAGAGGAATCGTTATTTACCTTGATTAGCTTTGTTGTTATTTATATTTTGAATTGATAAACTAAAAGAGAACTAAAAGGGAAACAGGGGGTCTGCTCGTATCGAGAAATGGAACAGGGGCTGAAATTTGGTTCAAGTCTTCGCAAGGGTTATGGAACCCTTGGAAAAAAGCTTTGCTGCCGAAAAATGTAAAAGGGAAAATAGGGGATTTCTCGCGTCGGGTGAAATTTGGTTTAAGAGTTAGTAAGGGTTATAGAACCCTTGCAAAGAAACATTGCTACTGAATATTCCGAAAAAATTAGCAAGGGTTACAGAACCCTTGCTATGGAACCCTTGGCATAAGTCTTTGTTTTTTTTGTAGTGTCATAAGCATATCTTAAAATCTAACATTTTAAATTAACCATAAAGTTCTTTCTATCAAGTTCACAAGCACAATCGATAAACCATTGACGATTAACCACATTACTAACAACCCATATTCAGACTTGTTTTGAAATGTCATGTAATCCAAAGAAGAAGAAAAAAGTGCGTATGGATATTCCGTTGAGAAGAAAAATTTGTTCATTAAGAAGGGCACAATTTTATGCCTTGTGTATAAATCTGTACATCCGGAGCTATATATATATGATCAATCCAGAAAACAGAAAAAATGAATCTGTAACTCCTATTATAATTCACTGTCAATCTTTTCTAAATTTGTACCAGTACTAGTACTTTTTTTTTCTTTCACCAACGTAAACCTCAGGAAGCCGGATAAGAAGAGAGCAAAGTCGCCGGCACACAAGGCGAGTTCTTCCACACGCGCGCGTGCAGCCTCAAAACCTCCCTCGCCTTGTCTTTCGCCCTCCCGCTGCTCTCCACTTGCAGCACCAGGCACAGCTTCGCCACCACCCCAATCTGCAGCATCTCCTGCAACACCGCGGCGGTCGCCGACGACTTCCCGACCGAAAGCAAAATCCTCACCGCTTTCTCCGTCGCCACCGCGGAGACGCGCAGTATCTTCTTGCTCACCACCGCCAATCCGGCGGCATGCTTCACAAACTCCGCCCTCCCTTCCGCGCACTGGCACAGCACGTCCAGCGCGGCCAGCGCCATCTCACAGGCCCGCCGCTCCGACGAGTCGAGGAGCAGGTCGACGAGGACCGAAACGGCGCCGGATTCCACCGCCTTGACGCGGTTCCTCCCCCAGGGGCACATCTCGATCAGCAATCCCAATGCGGCCTTGGACGCCTGCTTCGATATTTGGTCCCTCACCAGCTGGACCACCTCGCCAAAAAATCCGGTTCGGATCCCGATGATCCGGAGCGGGTCCGCGACGTGGAGCGTGGATTTGGATACCTGGACCGCGTAGGCGCGGGACTCGTACGTCCCGCGCTGACTCGCGTGAGCGAATCGACGAACTCGCCGTTCCTGTTGACCAGGTCCTTCAGCGCGGGCTCCGGGATCCGGAGCCCATGGAGGAGGCTCAGAGCCTCGTCGCAAGGGCTGGAGCCGAACTGCTCGATGCAGTCCAGCTCCGAGTCGTGGTTGAAATTCACCACGACCGAGATGAGGAAGTCGACGGCTCCGGCCGACTCGATGGAGCGCTTGTTGGCCTCGCTTTCCTTTGCTAAGGACTTGAGCTGCCTGAGGCACTTGATCTGACTGTGATGTGAGGATGATGACGTGGCGGAGCGGATGAGCTTGGAGATCTGTGCCCGGCTGGCGGGTGGTTTGGGAGTGGGGATGCGGTGGAAGCCGTGGGAGGCGTTAAGGGTGCACCAGGACTGGATGAGGCGGCGGAGGATGATGTTGGGGGTTAGGTCGGCGTCCGGCGGGATGGGCTGCTTGGTGACGGGGCACGTCTTATTGTTGTTGCCGTTGGCGGCGGCGGAGGAGGAGAAGAGCCACCGCTCGATGGAGTCGCGGTCGTATGTGATACCGGTGGGGAGGGTGACCGGATCCTTCATTATCTGGAGGGAGATCGGGCAGAGGAAGAATGGAGGCACGTCGATCTCTGACTCAGAGTCCATCACTTCGATCTTTTGCCGGCGGTTGTGATGATGATCAGTTGACTATTGATTGTTGATGAATGTTGAGGGGTTATTGTACTTGGAGAGAGTTGAAGTTTTTTGGTTGATGAAAGTTGGAAGGAATATTGGAGGAGTTGTGGGTTTTTAATTTTATATATAAGTAGCCCGGGATAGAGAAGAGAAGGGGTAGAGGGTCAAAGGTGCAAATGTCAAAACACGGCAACTACAAAGGATTGCAGATTTGCAGTGCACCAATGTGAGAGAATAGGACTTTTCAACGGGAAATATAATGGTACTTCTAATAAGGGGTTAAGCATAACTACTACTTGCTTGCTTCTGTGTTTGTTTGTTGCGGTCTATGAAATGGGGAAGGGAAATAATAATATATACATATATATATTGATTATTTATTAATAATTAGGGGGAATGTGTACATGGAAGAAGATCCAATCTGGCCCCTATTGACTTTCTCTCTCTAGGAACTGTCTTTGCTATCTTTCTCTGTGTACCTCGTGTTTATTGAGTGTAAGTAAGTAACCTAACTAGTGTTTGAGCTGGTGTGAGATTGGGTTGCCGACAAACGGTCGTGGAGGGGATACTGGCATACTGCCTCTATTGTGGGGCCATCCTAATTTGCTGTTTCTGATAACTACAGGTGTCAGTCAGGCTAAGTAAGCGCTTTATTTTCTTTTTCTTTTTCTTTTTCGTAATGACAATTGAATTCATTTAAGTGATTAAATGGCGATCCGATCAATAATTTTATGATTAGTAACCATGTATAATCTAAATTTGCGGTTATAAGAAATCTTAGAGTCAGTTTTCTGTGGAAGGAGAGATGTAAATTAATGCATATATGGAAATGCAGGGAGTCCTTCTCAGCTTGTTGTTCAAGCAAGTTCAGCAAACATTGGATTGTGCAAAGGGAGTGCAGCAACACAGCAGGAGTTTGATATATTATATAGTATTGTGTCATTGTGTGTAGGGTCAGAAGTTAGTACAGTATATTGTCTCTTGCACGCTGGTAATTTGCCTGGATGAATTCCAAAAATACACATGTTTTTTAAAAAAATTCTCAAAATACACACGTTATAAAAAAATTTCCGAAAATACACATGTTTGGGCATCACCGCTGTTGTCAACCGCACTGATTGCATTCATCGCGGCAGACCAAAGCGGTGAATGCAACACCGCGGTTGACGGCCGCGGTGAATGCCCGACTTAACACTGAAACTTCAAACAAACGTAACTTTGCGCTCGGTTATCGGAATGTAGCGAAATTTTTTTTGATTCCATATAACTTTTCAAGATCTTTCAATCTGCAACAAGACATCATCTCAAAAAAATGTCGTTTGTTACCCCGAACGAGCAATTTTTCGATTTTGCCAAACTTTGGAAGGACATAACTTTTAGCTCCTCAATCCGAACGTCGTAAAGTTTTTTTTTTATTGCGCATAACTTTTTAAGAACTACAAATTTGACTAGGAAATAATTTTTTATAAAAGAAGTATTTTTGGGTATACGGGATTTTGGGAATAACTTTGCCTTTACTTTTCACAAATCCACATACTTTCCAAAATTATGGTTATAATCAAAGTTGTAGTACTTCAAAAGTTATGCAAAATCAAAAAAAGTTTCATGACATTCGGATTGTGGAGCACAAAGTTATGATCTTCCAAAGTTTGTCAAAATCGAAAAATTGCTCGTTCGGGGTAGCAAATGATTTTTTTTGGAGATGAAGTCTTGTTTCAGATTGAAAGATCTTGAAAAGTTATGTGGAATCAAAAAAATATTCGCTACAATCGGATAACCGAGCGCAAAGTTACGTTTGTTTTAAGTTTCAGTGTTACGTCAGGCATTCACCGCGGTGATGCATTCACCGCTTTGGTCTGCCCTGGTGAATGCATTCACTGCGGTTAACAACAGTGGTGATGCCCAAACATGTGTATTTTGGGAAATTTTTTTATAACGTGTGTATTTTGGGATTTTTTTTAAAAAACATGTGTATTTTGGGATTTTTTCCAATTTGCCTGTTGTGCTTGTTAGGATCTTTGATCGTCCATAGAAAAGCTAATTTTTCACAACTAATTTTTCACAACTAATTTTTTTTTACAATTTTTCATTTCAAGTAGTAATTTCATTTTTTCAAAAATAAATAAAATTAATTGTCTCCTCCAAAAAGACATCGGTTATGATATATTTTTTAACAAAAAAATATATTTATTATCAGTCCATAACCGGTGGTAATGTTTGATAATATATAAGATTACACCGCGTGCTATGGAAGTGTATCGTTGTAGTATGAACATAGAAGAGTGTAGAGTAGTTGTATACATGATAGTAGAAATATACAAACGTCATTTATCAAATTTTCTTTCATTTCCATATACCACAATAACACCCTGGTATCGAAATGGTATATTTGGTATTGAAAAAATTTCACAAAAATTTGTAGATATATTAGATCAAGATGAAATCATTTTTTTGGATAATTTTTTTAATTCATGTTAAAACGAATGTGGTACCAAGTGAAAACCATGTGGTATCATGATGATAACGAGTGTTATGAGTGGTATGCAATTTTTTTCTTGAAATATATTAATTAAAAATGAATATCATTTGTACATCACATGAACTTGTTCCATTTGTGTAATATTTTCTTTGAAATTAAAGTTAAAACAAAAAAAATAAAAACCGATTAACAAAGAGAATAGATAGAAACTCTTAATTCGCATCCCTTAGATTTGTTTCTACTTAAAATTAAGGGTTCTGATATAGTTATTACCCTATCTTGGACCTTATATGAAGATATTCTAAAGAAAGAATATTAATTTTAATTTGTATTATGATCATTAGTAATTGAATCTGTTTTGTCTCGTAGGATTTAGTAGCCTCCTTTTATCCTTTAATATTTTTAATAATTTCTCAATTGTAGAAATCCAAACAACGCGGAAGTAAAAGACATACGATGTTTACGTTGTTTTCCCGACTATTCCATAGAGAGTTTGCAATAGACACCTTTATTTCTTCATCTTTACAGATCTTATGCAACCAAAGCTCATTGACTTTTTATCGTGACACAGATGGCAAACCTACCCATGCCAACACATAAAAGAAATAATAAGTACATAACCTAATTAATTAAGTAATTACAATTTAGTACTTAATAATTAGAGTCATAACACTCCCCCCTCAAGAACTGGCATCAATGTCGCGCATGCCAATACCGGGACCTTTAGTGAGGAGGTCAGTAGGCTGATCCTGAGCATCAAAAGCCATCTTCTATGGCCCGATATCCGATGAAATAACACATTCGTGCACAAAATAGCAGTACATCTCAACATGCTTGGTGCATTCGTGAAACACTGGATTAGCGTCAATATGCAAAGCCACTTGATTTTCACAGTAGAGAGGGGTGGGGCCAGGCTGAGGAATACCAAGGTTAGTTAGCAACCAACGAAAACACAAGGCTCACTAACAGTACTAGCTATAGAACGATATTCGGCCTTAGTCAAAGAATGAGAGACCATGGTTTGTTTCTTGGTATGCCAGGAAACTGGATGTAGGACCCAACTAGATAAAATACCCACTTGTAGTTACTGTCGACGTAATCCGTAAGATGTGGTTAGGTGTTGGGAGGGAAAAAGAGACCACGACAGGATCTTGCTTCAAGTAACCGAGAATGTGAGGACATAGTTAATGTAAGGTCTGGCAATAGCGAGATAGAGAAGATGACCGATGAGGCATCGAAAGCCAGCAGGATCAGCATCAGGAGGTGACTCAAACAGACCATGCTAATGATTCTGCCCAATCGGAGATAGACTAGGACGAGTAGCTTGAAGCCCAAAATCCACCAGGATGTCCATAACATAGTTCCACTGATTGGGAATAAAAACCACTAGAAGACCGAGCTACTTCAATGTCGAGAAAGTACTTCAAAGGACCTATATCTTTAATAGTAAACTAAGCATGAAGAGAGTCTTTAGCTACTAAATAAATGCCAAGTAATTTCCAGCCAATATGACATCATCAAAATAAATTAGAGCCCCAAAATGAGCCCTTAAGTTGGTAAATAAAGAGAGAGTGGTCAACTTTGCTTTTTTTTTTCCGCAAAGTCAGTTGTTATAAAATCGGCCATACAGAGAAAATAAAGAGCACGGGAGTCGACCAATAGTTGAACTTCCGATGAGAGGGCCTTTTATGCCACATGATGGGCAGCCCTATTGAGACAGCGGAGAACAAAACAGTAAGAAACCCAACTAAAGAGAGAAGCAAAGCTCTCAGCATCCTGCAAGATAGTTCCATCCTGATCATGAGCCAAGTCACTTGTCTGAGGAAGTCTATCCGATATCAGGAGCTCTTCTGCGTGCCCCTACAAAAAAAAATCAAACAAAACACACAAGCGTCCCCACTGTAGGGCAGCTAAGCTCCACCAAATGGACTTAAACAAGCCATTATGGATACTCCGAATCCAAAACTATGTCAAACTAATTTTGTTTTTGAGAATAGTTAAAGAAAAGCAAAAAATAAAACGGACGAAATTGACAAATAAAATGAATAAAAGGGAGGGTAAGTATCAAAAGAAAACAAATAAAAATTACTAATAAATAATGAAGGAAATGAATAGCGGTTAATGAAAAAGATAAAGGAAATAAAAAATGACTAAATTGCAGTAATATAAAAAAAAAGGAAACTGAGGAGTCTGTTTGAGTTACTTACCTGGAACCGTCACGCCATTCCAAAAGGTGTGAAATTGTAATTAATTAAAAAATAAATTACCAATTACTTGCAGGAGATCTCACAAGAACCGACCGTTCAGTTACCCAGGTAACCGTCGTCTGTCTTCTCTTCCATGCGCCGTCAGTCTTCGGAGACTTTGTTCACAGAAGCGGCGTAGTACTTCTTGAGACAAATCGGGACAGCAACAGGCAGCAGAAGCCCAAACAGGTTGAACCCCCAGAATGCCATGTTCGCCACCGCAAGACCCCTCCCAAAATACAGCCTCCTGGCGCCGCCGCCGCCGCCCTCGGACGTTGCGAACTCACAGCTGAGCTAGTTGGCGAGGGTGAAGATGCGGCGGGAGTTGTAGAACACGGGGATGAAGATCCCAACGGAAGGCGTCGCCTT